CAATTCTTGAACGATACACGCAGTTAGTTGTTTTATAAACATAAACTCACTTAGCTGAGCGGTGAAAACGCTCAATGTGGACAAAAAACGACCCGCCAGCCCAATAATGTGAAAAATAAAGAAGATAACGGCCCGCCCTAAGTCGTAAGGATTTGTACACGGAGCGCCACAGAGTGCTCCTCGCCAGCGCCTTATGCGTCACAAGAGGAAACCAGCGCCCACGCGCCTGGCTTAGTGGGCCGGCCCATTAACGAGCCGACGAGCTCGCGCGACGGCTGCTTCCCCAGCTATCCCGCTAGATCGTTTCGTTTACTCGAAAGAAAAGGACGCTTGATCGTTTCATGGTAGACTGGTGAACCATTGACCATTGACTTTTGAGATTGTTTTTTCAAATTTCAAAAAAAAGTTCATCAAACTTTTAAAAAGTTCATGAATTACAAAAAAGTTCACCTATTTTGAAAAAAAGTTCATGAATTTAGAACAAAAATGCAACAAAATTTGGAAAAAGTTCACGAAATTTAGAAAAAGTTCATCGATTTTAAAAAAATTCATTGATTTTTAAAAAGTTCATTTAATTTGAAAAATAGTTCATCAAATTTGAAAAAGGTTCATCAAATTTGGAAAAAGTTCAACGCATTTGATAAAAGTTCATCGATGTTAAGAAAAATTTCATGAATTTCAAAAAAAGTTCATCAAACCTTGGAAGAAGAAAAAGAAAAACAGAAAAACAGAAAAATAAAACAAAAAGAGAAAAAGAAAAAAGAACGAAGTAAAAGGCCTAGAAAGATGAAAGTAGCATGTCCAGTTTGGGGGTGGCGTGGTGGCTATGCAGAATACGTTAAGCATGAGGTCCCGGCTCCAAATCAAAGCATGAGCTCATTTTTTTCGCGTTTTGGAAAACAGAGGAAAAAAGCTAGATGGCCGGCCCAGCGGAGAGGTGGGATATGCGCCCGATTGCGAGTATACTGTAGCGGGCGCATAAGGCGCCAAATAGGATTTAGCGCCGCCACACATGACAACGAGGCATGAGCCAGCGCGAGCGAACACAACAATTGCGCGAATCTTGAATTCAGGGGTTTATTGGTTCCTTACCAGGAAATAATGCCTGAGAAATTTCAGTGCCTAGCTTGGGCCTGGGATGGTGCTGCTTTTGTGCCTGGCCAGGCAGGTTTTTGCCCGTGTCATTTGGTTTGTGACCACCTCTACTAGCTGCTTAGGTACGTCCCATCAAGAAAAAAGCTGTCTTAGATATGGCGCATCAGTTTGTTGCTTGCTTTTTTATTCTCCCAGGCGTGATTAACAGCCCCAGGCTAGTTCCAGGCGTCCTATTCCGGTTCCCTGGACCACGCTAATGATAGTCTCTCGTTTCCAGCCCAGGCTAATAATGCATTCAGCTTTCCAGGCCAGGCTAGTGCCAGATTTTTCAGGGCACCAACCAACACATGGTCCAGGCAGATCTAGACGCCAGGCCTGGAACATTTTCTCCAGGACAGTGTTGACATCAAATTTTGACACGGTCAAGAACTTATTTAAAATGGTCTCAAATGGAGAAATGATCTACATGAAAGAGTTCCATATTGTTGATATGAACATCTTTGAAGTTTGGGTCATCACCGTCTGATTTCATCTCGAAGGCCGAAACTATACTCAAAGTACTAAGATATTATACAGTTTGGTCGATTAAGCCCTCAAGACGACCACGAATGAAAAAAAATGATCTACACAGATTGTCTTCGTCTCGTCGAAACGATCGATTTTGATATAAATATCGTCCAAATCCGAGTTCGTATGCCAAAGTTAGAGCAATTGGAGTGCAGCCCTGTCACAAGGCGAGATGTGGCGCGCCCCGCCAGACACATGTCTGATGGGTAGCACGAGGAAATAGTCTATTTTGCGCGACCGATTTGACCCTCAAGATGACCTCTGATCAAAAAACGTTCAACATGAGAGTTGTTCGTCTCATCGAAAAGGTCAAGATTTCTTTTGGCCTCGTTTCCATCCGAGATCGTTTACCACCACAAAAAAGACCCTCAAGGTGCAGCCAGTTTAAACGGAACAGTTTTGAAAAGTTCGGACAAAATCAATCCGAGTTTGACTAGGGTTTTGGACGTGAATCCAAGCTTTTTCCTTGCACGGGAAGTCCAGCCGCCTGTTATATATCTGAGTGGTGACGGCCGATTAAACAACACACAAATCAATTCATCTACCACTTTTATCTTTTATCTTTTCCCCTTAACTCTAGTTCTTTTTCTTCCTCGTTTTTCGTCTGTTCTTCTTGTTGCAGGGCGGTGAACCTCGAGGCTCTAGGGACGGTCAGGTCGACCTAGGGCAGCCCATAGCCGCCGCGCGCCCAGACGGCGTCCCTCCCGGACGTGTGGGGTTTCGGATCCTCAAAAGCACCCGCCGGATTTCCTGTGTACCGCGCTTCCGGCGGGGTCTCGTTCAACGTGAGTTGCGGTGCATCACCCTCGGCGTTGGAGGTACACGGTGACATGTTCGTGTGCGAACAGACAGGAACTAAACAAGCTCTCAATAAGGATCCAATAGTCCAGAACTTAGAGCATCTACAACTGGACTTTGCAAATCCGGCACCTCAAACGCCCACGAACGCGCGTTCGCGGACACTGAGCAGTCAAACCTTAAATTTGTGTTCTCACAATCAGACATCTTAATTATCATATCTCAAATTCATATAAATTCATGCAACTATGTCGATGCACTACACAAATCGTCCGGCTACACCAACACTACTAACTGCCATCGGGCTACCAAAATTTGGCATGTTTGGCTACGGTGGAGATCATCTACGGCTGCCTTTGCCCTTCCTGGCACCCTTGTTGTCCTTCTCGCGGAAGTATCAGTCGAAGACGCAGTAGGAATCGAGCCGGATCTGCTCCTCACCATTGATGTCCTCCTTCTCCCCCTTCAGTGGCAGTTCGGCCATGGCACGAATCGTCCAATTCTGCTCTCGGGCGAGGGCACGCTTGTTCCTCCGTTCCCGTTTCTTCACAATGCGGGCGCAGATGGCTTCCTCCTCTGCGGCCGCCTGCGCCGCCGCATCCACCCTGTCATTTCCGCCATGATACATGCCTTGGCCGCACTTATACTCTCCTTCCCACGGCGGGCACACCGGTCTCGGTGAGACTCATAGTCCGCCCTACTGGTGATGGGAAGGAGAGATTTTCTGGCTACTGGGACCGCAGTGATCCAGCCCTAGAAGACCCGAGTGTCCGTTGAGACAACACTATGGAGTCACGCCGGGCAGATCATGCCGTCGGCCGGGTGCTGTCCTCCCGGGAGCGGCGAGTGCAATGCGGACCACCTTTGCCTCCTTCAATCCGCACGAGATGACACCACAGTCGACGGATCTAGACTGGTCGGAGTCAGATCCGCTGCCCGCCATGCCAGAAATCGCCGGAGGTGAGTTTGGGTGGTGGAGGGAGTGGAGGGGAGTGAAGTGTGAAGTGGCTAGGGTTTGGTCCGACAGCGGATGGGGAGGAATATATGTGGCATCGGGTAGGCCCGCCTGGGCCGGGTCCGAAGTGGCGAACACGCCCGGGCGCCTCATATTTGGGCTGAATATGAGGGGCGCCGGTCTGCCCGGGCGTTTGAGGCCCATTTGAGATGTTCGTCTTGGTTGAAATTTCGTTACCGGTGAGTGACCGGGCGCACCGTCCGGGTGTATGAGGCGGGTTCAGGGCGCTCAGGTATAGATCATAGCTGGCCAAACGGGCCGACCCGCTGAGGCACGATTATTATACGGGCCATGCTGTATCGGCCCTCCGGGTGTATGAGGCGGGTTCAGGGCGCTCGGGGTGTAGATCATAGCTGGCAAAACGGGCCGACCCGGCCCGGTACAGCCCGACCCGCCGAGGCACGATTATTATACGGGCCATGCCGTGTCGGCCCGCGCGCTGCAACCTGCAGCCCAGGTAGGGCCCAGCTGCTAATCGGGCCGGCCCACTGGCATGCCAGGCTCACTAGTCTGCCTGTCGTTTTGGCGCAACGGCTGTTTTTAGCCTATTTTTACCTGTTGGGCCATATATAAAAAAATAAAAAAAGATAATCAGGCCGTGCCGTGCCGGCCCGCGTGCTCAGCCTAGTAGCCCAAGCACAGCCCAAGGCGTGCCACATAACGGGCCCAGCCCGTTTAGCCCGTGCCGTGCCTGGCCCATGGCGTGCTCGCGGGCCGGCCTGGTTGGCCCGGCCCATTTGGCTAGCTTCAGCGTAGATGCTACAAAAACGTTCCCAAAATCAATCCCCTCGCTTCGCTAGTACTACTACTCTCCGGCGGCGTGGACAACGCCATCCTCCCCAGCCGACCAAATCACCCACCGAGAGGAGCCCTAGCATGAGCACGAGAGGGGAGATGGCCCCCCGCCGCCGCAGCACCTCTCCGCCGCCTGCCTCTCTGCCCGACGACGACGACATGCTTCAGGAGATTCTCCTCCGCCTCCCGCCGCGGCCTTCCTCCCTCCCCCGGGCCTCCCGCGTCTGCAAGCGTTGGCGCCGCCTCGTCGCCGATCCCCGATTCCAACGCCGCTTCCGCGACCACCACGGCAAGCATCCTCTCCTCGGCTTCTTCTTCGAAGACTATCGCTCCTGTCCGTTTGTTCCGGTGCTGGATCGACCAGATCGCATCCCCCGGGATCGCTTCTCCATGTCTCGCCGCGAGGACAACCGCATCGTCGACTGCCGCCACGGACTTGTCCTTTTCCTCAGCGGAAGGCCGCCGCGCAGCCCAAGTGTGTGGGACCCCGTCGCCCGCAAGCAGCGCTGCCTGACCCTCCCACCAGAGCTGGACAACGACCGGATGTACTTTTTCAACCGGGCGGTGCTTCGCCCTGCCCGCGGCCAAAGGCCGCCGTTCAAGCCAATTCCAGGTGGCCCTGGTAGCCTATGACGACAGAGGAGAAACAAGAGCTTCGGCATGGGTTTACTCATCGGAGACTGGCATATGGAGCAAGAGCAAATCACTGCAGCTGCAATCTTCTATACCTATGGATCAATCCAGTACTTTGATTGGGAATTCTCTTTACTGGTTACATACCTATGCGGCGATTGTGCTTCATGACCATGGTGAGTATTTCGTACTTGAGTTTGATCTGAATAGTCAGAGCCTAGCCGTGACCGAGCTGCCGGCACACATAGAACCCGGGTATCACACATTGAGGATTATGCCTGCCGAAGATGGTGGGCTTGGCTTCATCCATCTCTCACGATTCAATGCCCAATTATGGAAGAGAAAGCCTGATTATGATGGTTCAGCTGCATGGGTGCTCGACAGAGCTATTGATTTCGGGGAACTTAGATCAACTTGGAAGGGGGACTCCCTCACTTTAGTTGGGTTTGCCGAGGAGAGTAATGCAATCCTTGTATCGACAGCTTCTGGTGTCTTCGTGGTCTATCTCCAGTCAATGGAGTTTAAGAAAGTTTCTAATACGGTGTTCTTCTTTTCCCATTATCCATATGAATGTTGCTATGCTGCAGGTAAAAATATCAATCACTTATATTTTTTACTTTGTAGTATTATAAGATCAATTTATTTTTTGTAATTAGTTGCTGAAATGCGTATCATATACTTAGAGCATCTCCAATATATAGTCCAAATGTAAAAATACCTAATTTTTTGGACCGTCTGGGCCAAAAAACGCTGCTCCAACAGATGGTCCATATGTAAAAAAAATTGAACCGCGGCCTTCCGATGATGTAAAATTGAAAACTTTGTGATGCAAATTTACATCATGAGATGCAAGTGATGTAAAAAAAACGCGGCTGCACACCAACGCCCAACCGCCAGTTCATTCCGCCTAGCGACCGCCCGTCCGCCGCCCCGCCGCAGCTCCCCGCTCGGCCGCCGCCCCGCCACAGCTGTCCGACGCCGCCCCGCCGTAGATCCAGACCCCCGTCGCTGATTCCACCCTGGGCCGCCGCCTGCCGCCGCACCGCCCCATAGCGCCCGCCTCCGCTCCGGCCGCCTCCGCCCCGCCCCGACCCCATCCGCCTCCTCTTCGGCCGCCTCCGCCTCCGGTCCGTCCTCCGCCCGGCCCCGCTCCATCCACCTCCTCTTCGGCCGCCCCGCTCCGTCCGCCTCCGCCCCGCGCCGTGCACGCCGCCGCCTCCGCCACCGGTCCGTCCGCCACCCAGCTCCGTCCGCCTCCGCCTCGCGCCGTCCACCACCGCCCCGCTCCCTACTCCCCGATGACGCCGAAGGGCAAGTCGGATTTCTTCGGCTTGAGGGCGAAGCCCTCCAGGAAATTCGGAGTGGAGTTCTCTGATGCCGGGCGGCTTTGGTGGCTCGGCACGTATCCCACCGCCGATGAGGCCGCACGTGCCTACGCCGTGGCGGTGTGGCGTGCCGGGCGGCCGAATACGTACCTCAACTTCCCTGAAATCGAGACCCGGGCGGATGCGCAGTGGCTCGTGCCACAGGGCATCCGGATGGAGGAGATGCCGGCGAAGAAGAAGCAGAAGAGACCGGCGGTTGTCGTCACTCTCGGTGAGAGCGACGAGGCGGTGATGGCTCGGTTTGCGCGGGAGCATCCTGAGTACGTCCAGGTCGAGCAGGAGTTCTATTGGAAGCGTGATGCCGAGAAGAAGAAGAAGAAGGAGGAGGTGAAGAAGGAGGACGAGGCCGGCCCCTCGACGGTGATCCCCATCGAGTCATCGTCGGAGGAGGACGAGGAGTTTTGGGGGCTCTCGGATGACTCCGAAGAGTCGTACTGGATGCCCTCGGACGACGAGTAGTTCTGCTAGTTTAAATTTATGTCATCTATGTTCAAACTATGTTGAATTTCATGTTTGAACTATGTTGAGATGAAGTAGTACTTGGTCGTTTTCAAAATACATCTTTGTTTTGAACCATCTGTTGGAGTTGCTCTTTTTTTTACATCTCTGATTTGGACCATATGTTGGAGTTGAGCATGTTTCGGAGCTTCAAAAACGCACCATTTGGCGGTCCATATTTTACATCTTCGGTTTTGGACTACCAAAATTTGGACCATCTATTGGAGATGCTCTTAGAGTGTTATGTTAATGATTGAAGTTCTATTCAAATCACGTCAATTTTTCTTTTGCTGCTTGATGAATTCTTTAAAAGAAAATATCTAAATCTAAGACAAGTAATTTGGGACAGAGAGAGTAGTACCTAAGGTTGCTGTTCTTTTCTGTTGGTCATATGCATAAGTTGTGTTTTGAATGTAGTCTTATGTGCCTATCTGAAATATATATCTTTTCAGCACCGATAACAGTTGGAAATCAATGATATGGTTTTTGTCACCTGTGGAAGGGCCATACTGCGATTAGCTAGTTCAGATGTACAACTGGAGAAAAAATTGGCCGTACCTATTATATGTTTCTTGTCGGGCTTTTAGTTCCGCCATGTCTTAATTTGCTCTGCTTGGTCTGACAAGGAATCGAGTTTACTAAAGATGATTTCTAGAAAGTATCTTCTCGTGCGTGAATTGTCTTATGATAATATTCAGTGCTGGTCTGCAGTTCTCTTGATAATGTGACACATAAAGGGGCAGCCCCAGTGCATGTAGCTCCCGCTTGCGCAGGGTCTGGGGAAGGTTCCGACTACTTTGGGTCTATTGTACGCAGCCTTTCCCTACATTTCTGTAAGAGGCTGTTTCCAGGACTTGAACCCATGACCTCATGGTCACAAGGCAGCAGCTTTACCACTGCGCTAAGGCTCCCCTTCATAATGTGACACATAACAGTTAAAAATGAATATATTCCTGAAGCGAGGTGTCCATTTGCACTAGAGAATAAATAATTTTATGTATGTCTCATGTAATTTTTCTCTGATTACATAACTAGACAACTCTCACTTCACCTAGATATTCCATTATATTGCTCTGTTCTATCGATGGTTTTCCATCCGAATTATCATTCGTTCCTGACTTATTATGCTCGTAGGTACTGGCATTGTTGATGTACATGGCAAAGATGAAGTGTTGAAATATATGGGAGATTCTCGTCTGTTAGCACATGTTAGTACTTTGTGATGACTGAAAAGGTGACATAACTTTATCTCCTGGACGTGTTCATCAGGGATATATGTGTCATTTTACAACATATTGCTGCATGGACTTTGACTGATGATTTTTTTTATGAAAATATTAAATCCCTTTGTAATTGTAAGACATCCACTACATTGCCTAAGTAACTGAGAACAATATATACCGGAACATAAGAATCCTAATCAGTACAGTTTCCGTTATCACACTAGAAAGTTGTAACTTATAAGTACCTCTAGTCAAGTCATATGTTGCTTTTTTTTAAATGCTGTCAATTTATCAACTTTATCACTAGTGTATATATTGTCGACTAGGTTCATAAATTTAAATATTTCTAGGTTACATAAATTTGTGAATTTATATGGAGGTATTATATCGTTTTGGTAACTCTCGACGGTAATAGAAATAGTGGTCAAATGCTCAAAGCTCTGCTCTTCTAGTGCATGCAAAGGTTAAAATGACATCCAGTTTGGGCTGAAACAAATGTTATTTATGAGTTAATAAAGTACTCCCTCAGTCCCAAAATGTAAGACCATTTTTAACACTATGATAGTGTAAGAAATGATCTTATATTTTGGGACGGAGGGAATACCTGCCAATACTATACTTGTTCTTATGTGAGTAGTTCTACTTCAGTTTATAAGAAGTACACTATGCTTATAATTAAGCTGAATGTTTTTATTTTCAATTGTTTTGCCGTTTCTTCCCAGTGATATTTCACTATGTAAACTATTCTTTGTGAGCTAACTCATTGGATTGCTATTATGCAGGTATGTCCAGGTTGCAGGAATGGGTTATCGGTGTAGGTTCTTCCATTTTTCTGTTTTCTGGTGTTGCGGTCAGGGCCAGTGATGGTCCACTCCATCTGAAGATTAATCCAGTGCAGTAGTACTCATCAAGTGTGAAGGACACTTGGAGGAATGAACTGTTTAACTTGTTAGCTCCCACTCTTATTTCAGTGACCTCTGTAGAGACAGCAAGAAAATTGTCTGTCTCTTACTCCCTTTTACAACTTGATTAAGACTCTCAGTGGTTCATTTGCTTATTTTTTTACTCCCTCCGTCCCAAAATTCTTGTCTTAGATTTGTCTGGATACGGATGTATCTAATACTAAAACGTGACTTGATACATCCGTATTTAGACAAATGTAAGACAAAAATTTTGGGACGGAGGGAGTATTTGATGAAGTGCATTCGCCAAGCGAGCTCACCTTTCATTGTATGAACCCATCTGGCCTTTATGCTGATTTGTTTCGGGACGTGCAACAACAACATGATGATAGATTGCTGCTACCGCTCGTGTTCGGATTGTAGAATAGAAGGCAAAATGAAACCACAGTTTCACCTTGTACCTTCCGCGTGTGAATCATGTTGAATTTCTTTGGTTGGCGAGTTCGTGGTTCGTGAACAACTGATCGAACTCGAGATGTGGTTATAGTGCAAGTCCAGTAATAGAAGGTCAAATATCTGGTTGGCAAGTGCACCCGGCTGGTGCCTCTCCTCTGGTCTGGTCCCCAGTCACCACGCCGCATTTGGCCTTCCAGTATTGCATATAGATTTTTTTCTTGGAAAAAAGGATTTTTAGACCTAGATGTCAGAAAACTGCACTGAGCCCCGCCGGAAAAAAACTGCATTCAGGACATGCCTGTATTGGCTAGAATTATTTTTTGGTGTGTGTGTGCGTGTTAAATGAACCTGCTGTTGACTAGTTGACCTGTGCGCCGCCAGCCAATTCTCCAGATCAATTGACATCCTCCGCGCTGTATACTGAGAGGAGCCCTAGCATGAGCATGAGAGGGGAGATGGCTCCCCACCACAGTACCTCCCCGCCGCCTGCCTCTCTTCTAGACGAGACGACAGTGGCGACATGCCTGCTCCGCCTGATTCTCCTCCGCCTCCCTCCACGGCCTTCCTCTACTCAGGGCCTCCCGCGTCTTCAAGCGCTGGCATATACAAGCATCCGGAGTGTGGCCGTGCATTTCTGAGAACCCCAATCGTTCCAACGGCATCCTTCTCCGCTGAGGAGCCAAACTGATAAGCTCTAGCTTGAGCATGAGCGGGGAGATGGCTCCCCGCCGGCGCAGCCCCTCTCTGTCGCCTGCCTCTCCCAGGCGGCGAAGACATGCTCAGGGAGATCCTCCTCCGCCTCCCGCCGC